TATTAATCACGTTATTATTATTATTATTACTCATTTAATCAATTAATTAATTACTAATCATTATTGTCAATATTATCAATTAATATTAATTATTAGTTATTAACCACTAATTGTTACTGTTATTATCACTGACATTAATATTATTTTTATCATAACTTATTGCTGTAAACATCATCATCACCATCAATTATTACTGTAACATTTTGTATTTGCTTATTAATTTTACCATTATTACAATGATCAATGTTTGTAGCTTTCATAATATCTTATATTTATTGAAAATTGTTGAAAAGAAAAAATGCAACAAATTTTATAAGAATTATTTCTTTGTTCTTTTCGTCAAATAATATATTAATTTTAAAAAATAATTTTAAATATTCAAAAAATAAAATAAAACAAAATAAAAATACCAAAAAATGGAACGTTTTTTTATTACTCATTTCCTTTTTCACTAAATTTTTATCAATTCAACATTGTACCATTTTGCCATTTCATTCAACCATTTACATTTCATCATTATTCCTGCAATATTCATTAATATTCTTTACATGATCATTATCATTATCATCATTATCATCATTATCACCATCACTGCTATTGTTATTTGTCTTTTTTCTGTCTCTTTTTTTTCCTATAAAGTGCTCTAACTTGTTTTGTTAATTTTTCCTTTTCACCCTTCTTTTCCTGTATAATTCCGAATCTTTCAATATACATCAAATTTTTTTATTTTGATACAATTTAGTAAGCAATCATGACTCATCAAACATTGATCGATATATGATGATTAAAATTAAATAGTTCAATTTTGATTGATATTTTAAAAATTTCATTTTCTTGGTGAATCATAAAAGACATTTTCCTGATCATCGTGCCATCATCCAACAATGTCACATATATGGGACCACCAATGTCCCATATTATTGTAGGGTGAGATCGAATGGGAGATATATATTTATTGCAATAATTTGTAAAAACATATAAGAAAAAAAAAGAAAACTCTTTATATGTTTTAATTGCAAAAAAAAAGATAAATATAAAAATTTGCATATTTTCTACAACAATTTCTCGTCTTTCTCACTTTTTCCTTTTTCTTTTTTTTTTGTTTTACAAAAAATATTCATTGATCAAATTATTTATTTAAATATTTACAGATATATATATGTATATATATATGGTTGAATAAAAATCATTCTTTTCATGTCAAACATACGACAACGATATGGTGGAAATTTGATGCGAGAAGCGAATTTGATATTGTCGCGACTAGTTGCAACTTGTCGCAAACAATGGTTATCTAATATTGCCTTGCAATTTATTATTGGTATTTTAATTGGTATCCTACTTGGATTTTGTGCTATATTTTATAATGATGATGAAATTTCCACCACAATTACGCAATCCATTACAATCAATCAACCAAAACAATTTACTTCGATCAATTTTGATATTTCAATTCTATCCGATATTCAAATACAATGCATCATAATTATTCAACCAAATCAGTTATTTAAGCAGAAATATATAAAAACATTACGCGACACATATACCAAACAATGTAATCATACTGTTTATATAACAAATTCAAAAGAGATTAGTCGTAATTTTGCAGGTAATTATTATTATTATTATTACTATTATTAATGTTATTATTATTATTATTATTATTATTATTTTTACTTTTATTATTATTATTGTTTGTTTTTTTTCTTGCCACTTATTTTTATCATTTTATATGATAATTTAAGTGTTTCAAACTAATGAAAATTTGGAAAAAAAAATTTCCACAAATTTTTTATTACAATATACTAATTTTTCGTGCTCAATACAATTTTAACAGATTCAAAATCTGCTATTAATAATTATTATTATTATAATTATTGTCAAATATGTCGCATTATTTGCAATAAAATAATTCTAATATAATTTTAAGTTTGCTAAAACAGAAATTTTAATGTATTTTAAATGCATATTTAAATATTCATTTAAATTTATTATTTAAAAAATCCATAATTTTTTTACAGTTTTAAAATATTAATCAAAATTTTTTTTCGTTTAAAATTTTTATTTTTAATTTTTTAAATTTATTTGTTTATGCCAATGTTTTTTTTTTTTAGAAGAGCTTAATATTGCATTTGTGAAGACAAAAAAAACACAATATTATTGGGATTTTTATCGTGAAATTATTAAATATTCCATAAAACATATTCAACAACAGAATTCATATTGGACAATTATTGGTGACGAAGAAACATTTATTGTTATGACAAATTTAAGAAAGATATTGTTAACATTCAATGATTCGCGACAATCGCTAATATTAGGACGAATATCAAGTGAAAGGTTAGTTTAATTATCTTTTAAAAAATTGAGAAATTAAAAAAAAAAAAATTTACAAGTTATCACTCATATGTATATATATATCTAGAAATTAACTATTTATCGTTTCTATACTGTATTTGGAAAGAAAAAGCAGGAAATTTATCGATCTTATCTGATAATTATCTTATGGCCTTCAATGTAATTATAATTATATATCATTTCTTTTACCTGTAATTCTCTCAAAATAGCAATACATCAATCCTTTTCTGAGCGCTACTT